AAACGGTGTGTTTTCCCTGGAAGCCTTCTGAATCTTTGAAAAGTATGGGTAGAAAGGTCCTCGGGAACTCGTCCATGGCCCCAGGCCTCAAGGCAGGACAGACTACATTCACAACATTCTGGGTTAAATGTTTGTCTAAACTGTTCCTAGAAATCTGACTGAGACTCAGTTCTACCCTCAGGCAATCCAGCCCAAAGCTTCACCAGCCTTGAAATGACAGCTGGAAAGTCTTCCATCATTCAGGTCTCACCTGAATCCCCCCACCTGAATTCTGAGCCCTTCACTTTTTTTCTTACCAATCACAGGTATATAGGAAAGGTTTTTCTCTTTGCCTTCACAACAATCTTTTACAAATTGGAATATCACTGTCATTTCCTTTCTATCTGGRTACATATGCAACCAGATGAGTTCAGATGCAAATTATTTTTCAAATTAATGCCTTTAATGTAGCAGTAAATATATAATTTTCTTTCATTATTTTCCTTTCTTTCCTACCTCTAGCCCCCAGAGTGGAAAATTTTGCATGCTGAACCCACTCCTAGCACAAAGCACTGTGCCAGGTCCTGTTTGCACTGTAGGTTTAAGCTTAGAACTGCAGAGTTCAGACAATTCCAGTGCCAGCTGCAGTACATGAGATTTAACAAGCAGCAGGTCAGAAATCCTTCCTGAACAACTGCATATGATCAGCTGAAACATGCATGCAGTGGGAAAAAAGTTTACAGTGAATGGTTTTAGACCAATACTCACTGAGGAGTGAGAAAACACATCAAAATTACCTCCAGGCAAAGTAGTTTCAATAAAATAAAAGCCATTTAATAACAAGACAGTAAAAACCACAGCACAAAGCTGCAGCATCCTTCAGCAGAGATTTCTACAGGCCACCTACACACAGATTTCCACCACTGAAAAMATGAAGGGCATTTTCTGTAAAAGGAAGGTGATCTGGGATTTTTCAAAAGATGTTATCAGCRCATTGACAACTGCACATAATTCTTSTGCCTGTCTTCAATCCTCGGTTTCAAAGGGCTATTGCAAGGGAGACAGATTCAAACTTGCACACCCCAATGACACATGTGCACTYTCTTGAAAGGAAAATTGTTAATACTTTCACTTTAAAGAAACAGAGTGGATTCTTGCCTGACAGGGTTTTTGACACTCAGCACAATCCTTACTTTAGGAAGTTTTCAAGGTCGTCTCGGCTGCACGAAGACCAGGAAAGGTCGCTTGGGTTCCTGCCCTTCACCCATTCTCCAGACATAATGTGAGACCTCCCTGCACACGGCTGGTGATCGTCATCGTGGCTCATTCCCATGCTGGTGGATTAGAACAAAACAAGACAAAAAACCTATCAAGTTATGATGTGGGTTTCTAATTTCCCACTGCCCTTAGCAATTAACAACTCAACACCAACCTGCCTGGCAGTGAAAGTGGGTTAAGGGTTTTCCATCCTACTTTGAAATTATCATTAAACACACTTTTTCAGGAATCATACGGAGGAACAACTCTTCGAAACATTAACATTCCACCTTCAGTTGCAAGGTGGAATGGAAAACAACTTTCARGAAAAAAGGTGCCTTCTATTGCTGGCTTTTTCTAGAAAAAATGTCACCGATTTGGGGCTCAAAACACACAACTGACTGGGTCTCCAGCTGGCTGGCTGGAACAAGCCAGGARCAGTCCCTTTAAATATGGTGTTGCACTGTTTAATCCGTGCTATTTCTCTGCAAATCTGAGGCTCCTGTTTGCTTTCTGACTGTGCTCTTGGCTTTGCTTCTCCCCAGTTGTGGGACTCGACTGTTCTGAGCCCAAACGACATCCATTTCTAGCTGCAGTGAACCAAAACCCACTTCAGCAGTTTGATAATTATGGCTTAGATTAAACCACCATCTCTGCTATTTTTAGTTTACAGTGAAGATTATATGGTGGAGTCTATTATTTTAGGTTTATCTCCAGGGACATTATTATTTCTAGCAAAACTACATTTAACATAATTTTTCGACTCAGAAGTTCATAGTTATTCTTGTTTTTAAACCTTTGTGGTTTTTGAACACTGCAGAAACATTAACATCGAGCACATTTTGTTTGATGCACGCAGGAATAATCTAACAGTCTATTAGTAACTCTAACTTCAAAACAGTAAAGAGTGAAATTCCTGCTCCACTGAAGTGAATGGGAGTTTTGCCATTGACTTCAATGGAGCCTGGGTTTTGCTCCAAATATTTTACCCATGTTGTTTCTACACACAGAGAAAAYGCCTCACATGCTAGGGTGAAAGTTCCAGCACTATTCCTCCAATGCAAATAAGCYCATCTAAAGATTGTATTCCTAGAAGTCAGGGAAGGAAGTACCATGAAGCAATATGAGCATGTCAGGAATCTTCCAGAGGAATGCCTGTCCCAAAATGCCAGTTTAGAAGGCTCCTGGGCATGCAGCAATCCTGCTAAGTTTTCTAAGGGAGACCAGGCATCTTTCCAAGGWTTCTTGCAGTTTGTCTGCCTTGTGACTGTGACAGTGCTGAGACTCAAAGCTGGGTCCTTTTTGGGTTTCTACTCTGTTTCTGTGGGATGAGATCTGGCAGCCCTCCTGCTCCAGCAGCTTCCTGAACAGGCTCCTGGTCGGCTGMACATCAGCTGTTCCCCCTCAAAAGGGTGAAAACAAATCATCTTCCTGACTTTGCAAGTGCTTTAGACTACTTGATTTTATCCCTYCCAGAAAATACTAGTGTTTAGTCTAAAGTTGTTAATTAAGAAATGCTTTAGCTTTCTGATTAACTTCAATTATTTTTTGTCAAATATGTTGAAAGTGGGGTTTTCTTGGCAAAAAACAAAGGGTAGCAGGTACTAATTAGTACATTCCTGTCCTTAATTTTATTTTAAACCTGACCTCATGGAAGATGTCTTGCCTAGGACAAATGCTAAAGCTGCCAGTCTTTACTCAGCTTTGATTTTKCAGGAGGTTTGAGGCAGATAAAAATCTATTCTCTATTAAGAATGAATCAGAACTCACACCTCAAGTTTATTTACGGGTTTCTTCTGAAATTAATTCAATTCCTACTCATGTGGAAATCTACCCATTTCTGAATCATTACTGTTTCCTTAACAGAAATTCTTTTAAAAGTCATAAGCATAAAGGAATTGAGCCTGAAAGGAATATCTTTATTGGTACAGAGCAGAGGAGCTTTGCCAGTGTATATTAGCTTGGGATCTGGCCTCAAGGTACACAGGCAACCTCTCCTGGCCTCTCAGTGATGAGTTTCTGGTAGAATGAAACCAGCAACACCTTTGGAGCCTGTTTTAATTGGCAATGCAGAACTTTTCTCAGCATCTACTTTACCTTACAATGACTCACTTGAGAAAATGATTAAATGACCTGCAGGACTAAGGCATAGCCTAGCATGCTAACACATTCTTTWCTGAAGTTCAAGGGTCTCCAGCTACATCAAAGGCACCAGGTTTTCCTAAACACATAGTAAATGCAGTGCCATGCTGATTCTTTTCACTAATGAATAGTTCCCCTCCTTTKAACAGAAATAAACAGGACAGAGCAGTGTGTGTTTGTACCAAACTGCAGTGCAAACAGAATCAATAGTTTACATTTCCTTTGTTTCCATCTAATCTTACCTGCTATTCAGAATTCACGTGGAATTAGAAGCAGGTAATCAGTCTCCTGATATTTTCTGCCTTGGGAAGTTCTATTCTTACATGAACTGATCTTGAACAAAGAGTTGGTAAGGAAAGCTCTTAAGATTAGAAACAGCAATGTCAAAAAGACACTGCACTGCCCTGCAAACCCATTGCCCTCTGTGCTSCATGAGACATAAATGTCCATTTTATCACAAACAAATGCTGCCTGTTACCCTTTACAGAGCCAGCAGAGCCATTATGGATAAGCAGGACTCAGTTTCCCTTTGTGCTTTACTACCACAGTCACTGCTCCATCCCAACCCTACAGGAAATTTCAGCCTTTCAGYTGATCACATTCTCCTCCCGAAGACAATGAGATTCCACAAAGGCAAGCAAGGACAGCTCAGACTGTCAGCTCTTCAACTGCTTTCATTCAATGTTTACTCAGATTAAGCACCCTGGGACTCTGGTTTCACACTCCAGATTCTTTGCTAATATAAATAATGCATTGGTTACCAGTCAAAGACACCACAGGCCTCACTGGAGGAGTCCTACAGCACATTTACTGTTGCTCATCATGTGTGGGGCCAGAAACAAGCTGACTGACCAGTTTGAGTCCTGACTGTTAACAGAATCACAGCAAGGCCAATCTGATCAGGAGTCACAGGGAGGCAGCAATAACAGATCTCTTTGATGCAGTTTTTTTGGAGAACAAGGCTTGAAAGTAGCACTGCTATGAATAAAAAAATAGCATGCAGTCCCTGGGAGCTCTGGCCTCCCTGAAGCCTGTGCAGCAATCAGAACTGGGTCAGGATGCCAGAATTACACTCTGGGCCTGAGCTGGCCAATTTCTTGTATAACTCTTTTAAGCTAAATTCAATTATCAGCCCTCTGTTTTCTCAGAGCAACGCTGAACGAATGCACTTGCTTTGTTTGTTTGGGTCATTAATGGAGTTTCTCCTCTAGACAGTTAATGTAACTAAACTGCTCTGTTTACCCTTGGTGCGTTTTCCAGTGTTTCCTGTTATTCTTTACAAGCCAGAGCCAAAGTGCACCAAAGCCTGTGGAAAGCCTCCTACTGCCTTCAGTGCACTGCTGCACCTCCAAGTCCTTGAGGTCATGTACACAAATCTTCACCAGAACCACTATGACTCTCGATAAAGAACCCAAATCTGAGTTAAAGGACAATGCCAAGGGCTGGGGGAAAGTGGTTTAAGAGATATTAAAATCTTTTCAGCAGCTGCAACTCTGTGGCTGGTAAGAGACCACYGGAGAAAGCCCCAGGACTGGTATCATTCACTTCCCTTAGAAGGGAGAGAGATGAAGTAGGGACAAGAGGTAGGTTTGATAGAAAATACCATCAGGCAGCAGCAGAAGAGCTTTTCTTCAAAAAAAGGGTAGCAAGTAAAAGAAAGAAGTGTGAAGAACAGAAGCCTGAAAAAAGACACCCAGAAGTGGAAACACCACRAAGTAAAACCACCTCCATCGCCTCCCCCTGAAAGTCAAACCATTCCATTTGCCTGCAAATAATTCAGGGTGAGTCAAATGTTGGATCACTTTAGCAACTCATGGCTATCAAGGCTACCCAAGGTGTCCTGGCTGTCACCCCAGCTGCTTATTAAACATGCATRACAAACAATTGATTGCTTTCCACACAACTGCACTTACCTCAGCCGCCACTTCTCCAAAGGGCAGGGAGGATGTCCAGCTGCCAAGAAGGAAATGAGGACAGCGGGCTGTCTCTCACTTCCACAGACAGAAATCCAAAGGAGTCTTTCCAAAGAACCAGATGACAAAGAATTGTAACTGTGTAAGCTCAGCRAGACATTAAATTGGAAGAGCTCCTTGGGGCCAGCACTGCAGACCAACATGAACTCAGAGAATTGAGCAAAGAGATCATTCCAGCTGTATCCCAAACACTGGGGGGACAGGAGAAGGCAGGGGTATCTCATGTCCCTAGTAAAAGCTCAGTAGGACCACTCATGTTTTAACATTTTTGGCCTATAATTGATTGCAGGACAGCCATGTTTTCTCTGCCTGTGTATGTAAAATGCATTAGTCTGCAGATGTTCTCCTAGAGGCTTTGTTTCTGCAAGGGAACATTGCTATGGGCTACAGGAAGTACCAGCCTTGCACATCAGCACTGACCTTCTCAGAAGAGAATATGAGAGAAGTCTCTCCCTGTGACCCAGCTCGCCATGACTCACCCACAAATAATCCAGCATTAAATGCAGAGCCAGGATTAAGCACAAGATTTCTTTCTAAAGCCCACTGGAGAAATATAAATGCAAAGGGCAGACTGGACAACATCCTCAGAGTGGGAGAGGGAAGGGAACAGGGGAGCTGTAATTAATCTGCTCTGGCCTGTCAGTGTGGGCAGGATGACAGTGCCCCACGGAAGGATGGCTGTTCAGACATGCACAAATGCTATCTGCTTTTCCATATGAAGGATGTAACTCAAGGACAGAATTCCTTCCCTTCCCACCTCCTATCAGGTCTCAATGAAGGCTTGAGAAGGGAATCCCATCTTGTAGTGCATCCAATGTCAGCCACAAAGGAAGATGCTGATATGGAACAGGTTACACAGGGTGCGTGGCTGGCAGCTGAGAACATTAACCATGGCCATTAAACTCCAATCCAAACAGGTCATTAAGCAGAGGCTGCACATCAASAGTCCTCAGCAGCTCCTG